GATTAGTGGAGTAATTAATAATCTATAACTGTTAATCTAATTACCAAGGGATAAGTTTCTAATTAATGCCCCATTTTTTATTTTATTTTTTTTAAATCAAAATTTTCCGGCCTGATGGGCCATTTTATTTAGGAAAAAAAGGACAAATATACCCCGAACTATGATAAATGATATCTAACTACCCTAGGATATACTTTTAGAACTCAGATGCCCCTACCGTCTAATTTTTGGAGCGTGTATACCCTTTGGACTAACGGAGGGACACATGTCACGATCTTAACAACCTATCCAAAATTTATTTAATATTTATTTCCAATTAAAAAAATGACCCAATAAAAAACCCACCCAAATAATTTTAGACCCGCACCGAAATAAATCTCATTTTTCCTTTCTTCTCTAGTCCAAGAGCCATTTACACAACAGAACTGCATCGACTCCATCTTCTCCGGCGAAGCTCCAATTACGAAACCATCTCTAACTGCTATCGAACCTAACCTCCCTCGCTCCAGCCAAATAAGTGAGGTAGTGACGCTTAATCCACCATGAAACCTGACCACCACTCACCCATTTCTCCCTCACTGTTGCTCCAACAGCTCCAGCGAACCAAACCAACGACTTTCGAATGGATTTATAGTCGCAAAACTCAATAACATTTTTAGATGACTGAAACTTAAAAAAATGAAGATTGTAGGGCTAAAAGCTAAGAAAAGAGATCTGTGAAAATCCAAAAATCAACCATACATTCAACAATCACACTACAATGGGAAATATAAAATAAAATCAGTCATAAATCAAACAAGAAAAATATGGGAGGATAGGGAACAAACATACCTCTAGCTCTCTTTACAGAGCTTCAACAATGGAGGTCAAGAAGATACTCCGTAACCCATAGCTAATTTGTGGTGTGTTCTTACATTCCAAAATGTACCACAAGAAAAACGACGGAAAATTGCCTCTAACACCAGAAAAAACCAAATTCAATTTCATCAACTGAAAACCACTTAAAGTGCTACCCATACATTGAATGAGTTTCCAACTCTGTTTCTGTCCTTTATTATGTTAAAAAAAAGAGTTAGTGGATCTTACAAAATGTTGTGTTAATGAGAATATCTTAAATTGGAGTATGCAATGATAGTTAACTAAAGAACAAAAGAAAATCTCTAATGGATTCTCTGTTAGAAAGGAAAAGATCAGAGATGATGGTCTATTGGGGTTTTGGTTAAAATTTCGGTGCGGGTCAAATATTATTCGAGTGGGTTTTTTATTATTCGGATCAATTTTTTAATTGGAAATAAAAATTAAATAAATTTTGAATAGGTTGTTAAGATAGTGACATGTGTCCCTCCGTTAGTCCAAAGGGCATACATGCTCCAAAAATTAGACGGTAGTGGCATCAGAGTTCTAAAAGTATAACAGAGGGTATTTAGATACCATTTACGATAGTTCGGGGATATATTTGTCCTTTTTCCCTATTATTAATAACGGAAAAGGGTCAAAACTACCCTTAAACTATCTAAAATAGCTTAAATATACCCTTAAACTATATTTCAGCTCAAAAATACCCTTCCCGTCAAACTATTGGGCCACACCTACCCTTCTAGTTAACGGAAGTATCCATGTGTGTGTTAAATGTCACATGAACGCAACATGGATTGTAACACCCCGCATCTGAAAACAGACTAACCAGCAAATTTCCAGAAGTTGCAGGTGCAAGCCACAGTTGCTGATACGCTCAAATTAGACCTCTATTAAAGAAGTATAAGTGGTCGTCGTCAAATAAAGAACCCAACTTGTAGGTTGGGGTCGATCCCACGAGGAATATGGTTCAGACTTAAACTTAACTCACTAGTATAGTTGTTGTCAAATAAAGAACTCAACTTGTAGGTTGGGGTCGATCCTACGAGGAATATGGTTCAGACTTAAACTTAACTTACTAGTATATCCGTTTATTCAAACTATTTCCGAAACAAGTAATTAAAGGGGGGGATTTTTGTAAGCAAATAATTGAGTGTTGTTTAAGTAACAAGTGAGCAAGATTCAAACTTTAAGTTACCAATATGAGAGAGAGACTAGAGTGTATGTGTTCCCCATAGGTTTTTAACGCGGTAATCCTAATAATAATAATCATTTCCTAGTGTTTTACATGCAAAGTTGGTAAGATATGTATCCCTAAGTGATTGGTCCTCTAAATAGGGAATTTCACTACGCACCTTGGTCTGGCTACGAGTGTATATTTTACTAACCCTTACCTTTACCTCAGATTAGACATTACATCAATGTATGACTTAGTTTTCACCCTCACACCAATTGACATTAGACTATTAGATAGCATCCGCTAAATCTCTGTTGTTAATTTTTTTCTCATTAAATACCTCCTTGGTCCGGCAAGTAGCAAAGAGGCGAGTTCTAACGCGTGCACTCGTTAAAAAGACTTCTAAGCGAAAGAATTACCAATACATGCATAAACACTATTCAAGAATTACTTAATTATTATTCATACGTTGTTAATTGTTCATGGTTCCCACAACCCTAGTTGTGGATTTAGTTACTCATGATTGAAAGAACACAACTCATATTTTGATAAAGAGAATTCATGAACTTACGTTTAGAGTAGAAGAAACCCGAAATCTCCAATTGAATTTCAAAGCGAAAATCTTATAATTCAAAATTCGAAAATCAAATTACCAAAGTTTGCAAGTTAATTCCCAAAGAAAATACCACGAACTAAAAGTAAACAATAATGTCTAACCCCCAAAAACGAGGTTTACATACCCTATTTATAGAAAAACATGTCCAAAACAAAAAGAAAACAAAATAAGGAAATAAACTTCTGGAACACGGCATCAATCGACGACTCGACCTACGGACCATGGGTCGACCTACAGTTCATAGGTCCCCTTCCGTTGGTCAATACTTAGAACTTTTCAACAGGGACTAGAACCTTCACTATCAGATCATCAACTATGGACGTGCAGCACGGACCGCTCCACACTTAAGATTTCATCAGGTACTGGAGCTTCAACTCTCTGAAGACATTCGACGGATGTGCAGGACGACCCATGTGTCAACCTACGGTCTGTCAGTTGCTCCGTAGTTCCACACTTGGTCAGACTTCCCTGATGATCCATTTACGCCTACCCATCGACAGACCGTCAAAGGACCTACGGTCTGTGGATCACGTCTGTGGGTGGCTCTTTCTGCATAATTTCTGTTGTTATCTCACTTAATCGCGTCCATGGCTATTTCCTGCAAACATAACGCATAAAACATTATTTCTAATACAAAATGGCCCTAGACACACACAACTCTTAAGTAAAATGTATCAAAAATATCGTAAACTCATGGTATATCAACACCCTCAACTTAAACTTGTTGTTTGTCCTCAAGCGACACACTAACACTCTAAACGACACTTGTGTAGAAGCAGTCATTCAAACTCAAGCAATCAGATAGCTTACTAACTCAATTCCATCACAATAGTGTAAATCTTTTCATTTAGACTCAACAAGCTAACTCATGCGGATCAAGATATGACATAGATCGACCAATCAACACCACAACATACACTTTTCACAATCACCAAGGTACCAACTCTCCAACAATGTAACTAATGCCCTCACTTCAAATGAAATCCTTTTTTCGCACAATAGATATGAATTTTGAATTTTAGGATTCATTCAATAGTCACGCTTAGAAGTGACTTCAAGTACAGTTAGTGCTCAATACCATAGGCTTGCCCTTATTTTCACTGCATAGACTCTCCAAACTATTCACTAGGATCACTATAGGACTTTCTTAGCTTGTAACGTAGGCACAAGTAGAATATATTTGTGTACTTTTTAGTGACTTTCTACCTTCCTTGACATTACATTGGCTTTTTACCTCTTTTCTCAACCAATTTTTGACATCTTTTTATTTTCTTTTCTTTCCCTTGACTCTTTTACCGATGCGACTTTTGACTTTATAGCTCTTATTTTTCACTTTCTTCTTCTTCTTTCACTTTATTTTTCTTTATTTTTTTCAGCACTTTTGTTTTTCATCTCTTTGCTTCTTTTGCACAAAGTTACATCTTTTTCTTTTCTGTTTCTCTCTTCAACACAAAACTCTTTTCATACATTTTTTCTTTGGGTTTCCTTTTTCACAGCCACCCTCAACTTATGTGTTTGGCATGAGTTGAGGTGCACAGTATCCAATGTCGGACCAGGACCAATATCAAGGTAACTTTTGAATTAGCCACCCTCAACTTAGGCTTTTGGCCCAAGTCAAGGTGCATATGTCCACGGAGGGACCGGGGCCAAAACAATGATTTTAGGGAAGATGAGTTAGGTGAATTGAAAGAAGTGGTCTATATTAGGCTCAAACATTTGGATCAAAGGGAACATTTATTTCATTTGGTTGGATCATTTTAGGCATTAGTGGACTTATCAGAACAAGGGCCTATGATCATTTGCTAGCTTCTATCCTAGCTTATCTTAGCAGGACCAACAGGGCAAGTTCTAGATTGGCACACACTGTATGAACATTCAAGCTTTCCTCACACACACTTGACACATTATTTCATTATCAGATTATTCGATTACCCAGTTCAAGTTTTAGCTTAAGTGATGAGGTCAAATCGGTTCCTTATCATGTCATATTGAGATCTAGCACATTCAACTTATCAAGCCTACAAATCTAGCACATTTCAAACTTTTTGGACGGACTTAATTCTCTTTATTCTTTTTATGCCATCATGCTTCCATTTTTCAAGTTACCTCTACACATACATTCCTAAACATGCCGGTTCAACAGAAATTAAAATAGTCTTTTGGGGGAAAAGAACACAGGCAAGAAAATCCAAGAGAGGATTATGAGTTGGGTTACTCATACTTCACCGTATCACTCACAATTCATTTACCCCACCCCAACAAAATAAGGTGCAATTGTCCCTATGCACAAAAAAAATCAAAAGTAAAACATAGGGTGAAGCAAACATATGGCGCATATGCGCCGAAGACCTCTCAAGAAGCGGGTGGGTTCGGTTTCCCGGAGCCCGCATGATCAACTCTAGGAACGCCATCAATAGCGCTCTCATCAACTATCCCAGCACCCTCAGTAGTGCTCACACTGCCAGATGGGCCAACACCTATCTGTTAGAAAAATTTTGAGGACTTACCTGGGATCTACGAACGCCATCCATGGTCTGTGGATTGACCAACGGACCATCGATGGGGTCTGTAGACCACTGCACAACTATTTTTCTGTAGATTTTGCCCTCGTCCCTGCACATGTAGCAACCATTAGGACTTTCTTTTTACATTTTTTGGACATTTTTTAGACACAGACCCTATTTTATATCTAGCCAACACTAATACAAAAGTAAAACACTTATCTAAAGAGCTACAAAAATTAAAATAAAAGAAGAAGACTCATATCTCAAAAAGAAAACCTATAGTTGGCTAGATTGTACATCTTAGGTTGCCTCCCAAGCAACGCTTGATTTAACGTTGCGGCACGACGTAGATCCCTTTATTAGTAAGACTTCATCAAGGTGCCATGCCTCTATCAATGCATTGACACTCTCAGACTTTCCCATGTAGCTCTTTATCCACCGATGGTCGGCCTTGAACCTTGTCCCACTCCTTTTATCGAGATCAACCACTCCATGTGGGGACACTAGGGTCACACTGGGACTTGAATCTGCTAGAAACAGTGCAACCTTGATTTAAACAACAACACTAGATCCCCAAGAGCTAGTTTGCGCTTTTCTGTCTTTGATCATAGTACTTTTTCTCTGTGCACAAGGCTGCACCTAACTTCTCCTTACTAGATACTTCAACACTTTTTTTGAAAATGTGACTCACCATAGATACCGGTTTAAGATCACTTTCCTGCTTCGTAGACTTATAGATGTTAAAGGTCACCTCCTTCTTATTCAGTCGAAGCTTCATCTGCCCTCTCTCCATATTGACTAAGGCACGCTCAGTAGCAAGGAATGGTCTCCCTAATATGATGGGGACCTCAAAGTTTACCTCGCAATCAAGTATCACAAAGTTTGCCGAAAAAATGAATGACTCCACTTTCACAAGGACATCTTGAAGCACTCCAATGGGATTTTTCACAGTCCTATCAGCCATAAGTAAACACATCGCAATTGGTTTTGGAGCTCCTAAACCCATCTTCTTATAAATCAACAATGGCATCAAATTAATGTTGTCACCCAAATCACATAAAGCTCTCGCAAAGTGCATCTTACTGATGGTCCAAGGAATAGTGAAAGCTCCATTATGCTCTTTCTTTTGCACGAATGACCTCGTAGAAATGGCACTACAATGCTGCAACCTCTCATCATTCTCAAAACTGACAGCCCTTTATTTGGTCACCAAGTCCTTCATGAACTTTGCATACCCAGGCATTTGCTCCAACATCAATAGGACATTGATGGGAAGTTGTTTCAACATAGTAATGAACCTGTGGCATTTTCCTTCTGTAGTCTTCTGTACTAGCCTCTGTGGGAAAGGAGGTGGAGGTCTAGGCATGGGAACAACTTTCTGGGTCAACTCAGCCTCCTTTTCTACGGCATGCTTCGTCTCTCCAGTAACCTCAATCTCATCCTCATCTATTTCTACCACTTTTTCCACATCAGAGGACATGGGGGATCCATAGTCTGCTTTCCACCGTGAGTCGTGATTGCCATACAATACCCATCATTTTTCAGATTCTGGATAGTGTTGCTGGGAAGTGTGCCCGATTGTCGTGTATTCAGTAGCAGACAACTGACTAAACTGTTGCTCAAGTTGGTTTATCGACACTGCATGGGCATCAACTTTCTGACCAATCCTGGACAACTCCGTGCACATCTCTTTCTTATTATGATCAGTAGCATCAAACCTCTTCATCATCTTTTGCATAATATACTTAACGTGCGACATACTACCCCCCAACTTCTCTATTACCAGATTCCCTGTTCCCAGGTGGAACATAGGGCCCGACTCTCTCATTCATCTTACCATAGTTGTTTCAGTTGTAGTTCCCATCCCGGACATAGTTTCCTTCTCGATTGTAATTTCCATAGTTCTGACCTTGCTTTCCTTGACCTTGATGCCAATTATCCGAGTTGGAACCTTAGGCGTTGGTTTGGAAATCCCCCGTCTGATCATTCACCAAATACGCATCCTCCTCATAATAGCATTCCTCTACTTGTGGTGGTGGAGTTCTAGTTAGGTAATTTACGCATTTACCTTCTCTGCACCTCTACTCACATGCTTCAATACCAACCCAAGTTATGTCCTCATCTGAGCTATCTCCTCACGAATGTCATCACTAGATTGATCTGGTGCGACTTGAACAACGAATGTGCTTCTTCCAGTATTAGCTTTTCTAGTGCTCCATGCCTTATTATTCTGGGAAATCTTCTCTAATTTTTCAGCGATCTCCTCAAAAGTGCACTCACCATAGGATCCTCCAGCGATAGTATCTAGCACAACCATTCCATTGTCATCCTGCCCTCTATAGAAATACTCCTACAATGACTCGTCATCTATGCGGTGATTCAGAACACTTCTGATGAACTCAATGAATCTATCCCAAGAACTGCTCACAAACTCTCCAAGTAGTGCAACGAAATTATTCAACTTGTCCTTGTGGTTAAGCTTCTTAGACACTGGGAAGTACTTTTCCATGAACACTCGATGCAATTGGTCCCATGTATGAATTTAGTTATATGGAAGCTTAGCAAACCACACCGCAACATCATCGGTCAATGATAGAGGGAAGACTCTCAACCCTATGACATTCATATCCAACTCTGGTCACCCCACACAACTCTTACATACACTTCTCAATTTAGCCATGTGACCATGCGGATCTTTCTAAGCTAGCCTAGAAAGCAACCCTCTCGTTGTAAGCATTTGTACAAGATTGCTGGTCACCACAAATGTATGCCTTGGAGGTAGAGGAGGAAGAACAATGGGCCCTTCTAATTCAACTGTATTGAAGGCAACCCTGTAGTTATCACACAACCTTGGTTCTGGCGGATTCTGTACCCTCAATGCATCTTCGATAAGATTTCCACTGTGAACCTGAGCTTGCACATTAACAACCCCAGGAGGCTGCAATTGTACTCCATCACCTAGATTCTTTCCGATTGGATTGATTTGGACCCCTTCATTATTCATTTTTCTCAAAGTTTTGCACAACTCTTGATCGTAGAGGGTCAATGGTTCACCTCGACTCCGTGTACTTGGCATACACTAAAGTAGAAACCTGTAGAAAACAAAAACAAAAGAAAACGTAAAATCAAGAAATAATTGACTAAAGTTCAATACTGTAGTTAAACTAAATTCAAAAGCCTTATTCCCCGGCAGCGGTACCAAAATTTGATACACTCAAATTACACCTCTATTAAAGAAGTATAAGCGGTCAACGTCAAAGAAAGAACCCAACTTGTAGGTTGGGGTCAATCCCACGAGGAATATGGTTCATACTTAAACTTAACTCACTATAATATCCGTTTAGCCAAACTATTTCTGAAACAAGTAATCAAAGGGGGGGGGGGATATTTGTAATCAAATAACTGAGTGTTGTTTAAGTAACAAGCGAGCAAGATTCAAACTTTAAGTTATCAATATGAGAGAGAAACTAGGGTGTATGTGTTCCCCATAAGCTTTTAACGCGGTAATCCTAATTAATAGTAATCCTTTCCTAGTGTTTTACATGTAAAGTTGGTAAGATAGGTGTCCCTAAGTGATTGGTCCTCCAAATAGGGAATTTCACTACGCACCTTGGTCCGGCTACGAGTGTATACTTTACAAATCCTTACTTTACCTCAAATTAGACATCACATCAATGTATGGCTTAGTTTTCACCCTCGCACCAATTGGCATTAGACTATTAGATAGCATCCACTAAATCTCTGTTGTTAATTCTTTTCTCATTAAATACCTCCTTGGTCTGGCATAGCGAGTTCTATCGCGTGTGCTCGTTAAAAACACTTCTAAGCGAAAGAATTACCAATACATGCATAAACACTATTCAAGAATTACTTAATTATAATTCATACGTTGTTAATTGCTCATGGTTCCCACAACCCTAGTTGTGGATTTAGTTACTCATGCTTGAAAGGACACAATTCATAGTTTCATAAAGAGAATTCATGAACTTATGTTTAGAGTAGAAGAAACCCAAAATCTCCCATTGAATTTCAAAGAGAAAATCTTATAAACCGAAATCCGGAAATCAAATTGCCAAAGTTTGCAAGTTAATTCCCAAAGAAAATACCAAGAACTAAAGTAAACAATAATGTCTAACCCGAAAAAACGAGGTTTACATACCCTATTTATAGAAAAACATGTCCTAAACAAAAAGGAAACAAAATAAGGAAATAAACTTCTGGAACACGACATCAATCGACGACTCGACCTACGGTCCGTGGGTCGACCAATCCGTAGGTCCCCTTTCGTTGTTCAACACTTAGAACTTTTCTGCATGGACTAGAACCTTCACTAATCAGATCATCAACGACGGACGTGCAACACGGACCGTAAGTGTCCTCTATCGCGGGTCCACATTTATGATTTTTCATCAGGTATTGGAACTTCAACTCTCTGAACACATTCGACGGATGTGCAGGACGACCTGTCGGTCGACTTACGATCCGTCTGTTGCTCTGTTGTTCCACACTTGGTCAGACTTCCCTGATGCTCCATCTATGCCTACCCATCGACGGACCATCAAAGGACCTACGGTCCGTGGATCACGTTCATGGATCACGTCCGTGGGTGGCTCCTTCTGCATAATTTCAGCTGTCATCTCACTCAATCGCGTCCAAGCCTATTTCATGCAAACATAACACATAAAACATTATTTCTAATATAAAATAGCCCTAGACACACACAACTTTTAAGTGGAATATATCAAAAATACCATAAACTCACGGTATATCAGTTGCCACCCATGGATCGTAGGGTGATCCACAGACCGTAGGTGGGGTCCATGGATGGCCACCGACAGCTTTCCCAGAAAAAATCTAGAAATTGGTCTAAGGGTCGACCCACAGACCGTAGGTCAGACCATGGTCAATGTCATAGGTCGGACCCTAGAGTTGAACTCCCAGAACCCCGTTGACGGTTAACCTAGATGGACCGTGGGTCAGTCCATCGACCGTCGATCAGTTCCGTTAGTGTCCCTGACAGTTTTTAAGTCAGGGGTCATTTGGTCTTTTCCCTATGCGTTGGACCCCTAAACTACGTTGTTTAACCCCTAGACTACGTAGTTTTTGTCAGTTTTAACCTACTAACTTAATAAGTACTTACCCTAGTCAACTCATTCTCCAAAAAGTCATCAAATTGAACGAAAAGAAAGAGAAAGAGTCGACCAAGCCCTAGTCCAAGAACGTTGTAGGTTTTCATCAGTTTCAGCCCCGAAATCAAAAGATTTATCCATGTAATTCGTCACCAGGTATGTGGGATTTCACTAGTGGGTTGCTTTCACCCATTAGGTCCCTAGAATTCAGTCAGATTCTTGATTATCTACAACATGTTAGACCTAGGGTTTCTAGAATTTCAGAATTTATGTTGTGATTCAGTTGTTAGACTAATCCAAATAAGATTATCTTGTTTTCATAAACTTAGAACCCTAGTGATGTAGTTCTTTTAGTTCATGAATTATATTAGCTAGGATAGATAAACATATATACATGCCTCGGATTTTGAATGTTTCATTATCAGATATAAATGTTGCATTTTCATATTTGCACGTTAGATTATTGAGCTATTCAGTTTACTTTAGTTATGTTATAGTTTTCACATATTCAGTTTGGAGTAGACTTTAAACCGAGTTGGACTAGGGTCAGTCACCCTTAATTCCCAGAACTACGTGCCCCCGTAGATTATAAGTTCCCTCTGTGGGCATCAATTTAGTGATCATGCCTGTATGCCTCTATACCTCTAGCAGGATATATTGGGTCCTCTCGATGGGGAGTATACATTGGACTCCACATTTCACTCATGTGGTTTTATGTCGGTTATTAGTAGCTCCCACAGTCATATTCTATTACATTGACCATGTTATCAGTTCAGTATTCAGTTTCAACATGTATAAACTTGGTCTATGCATTCAGTTAGTTCTCGTCCAGTATTTTCATTATAGTATCATGCTCATCTTATATCGTTGCTCAGTTATATTCTTTGTTTAGTTATGTATATTGTTTAGCTTTATTCTATCCTGCTTGCTCAGTACCTTTCAAGTACTGACGCATACTTTGTGCTACATCTTCTCGCGATGTAGGTTCAGGTCCTCAGTATTCAGATCAAGCATAGATCGGTTCCTGATCTTCAGTCCAGCAGCATCAGTGGTGAGTTCTAATTCTTCAAGGATGGTTGACATGTTTATTTTCTACCTTCAGTCTTTAGTTTCAGTTTTTGCTAGATTTAGCTGGGGTATGTCCCAACATTTTTAGTCAGTTAGAGGCATTATTTCAGACATAGTTAGATTCAGTTTTTGCTTTGGAGTTTGATATTTCAGTTGTCATTGAACTCACAAATGATTTATTCATATAGTAATGGGTATTCCCCATCATTTCAGTTCATGATATGTTTTAAGCTTCTGCACATTACTTTCTTATTTCAGTAAATCTTTAAGTATGCTTATGATA